ACGCGCTGAGCTACGGCCAACATTTTAGCCTAAATTAGGTATGCTGTTCCATGAATTTACATCCTACGAGCTGTGCAATGATTCATCATTTTACTGTAACCAAGTCTTTCATGTGGTTATCTATGTTTAATTTGATTTATACCTTATGAGATAAGGCGAATAATTAAAAATAATCAGTGCCCTGAAGCATTCAAAGTACTTAACATTAAGCGTCGTATATTCCGAACTGTATATGGCCATGTAAATTATGAAAAGGACAGTGCCACTCGAGCTATTTTTCATCTAAACTATTTACAATAATTAAAAATATGCATTATTTGTCAAACAAACATAATTTTAATTACTAGCAGGAGGCTACAGCATCAAATTGCCAGCAGTCGCAACAATTCAATCCGACGCACGTATGGGACGCCTCCTAAACAAATAAATTACAGCACGACTGCCGCGTAGGAATACGTACTCTTGTAATTGTATGTACTCTTTAATTAATGGAATAATAGTCAGTGATGCGGCAATTATACGAGGCCACGTATATATATATAGGTACATCATAAGCCTCATCACTAGGCACGTGAATGCTCTGCTAGATGCGCCGATGATCTCTAGATACGAACACGACCTCCAGCCTCGTGCACGAAACCTCCTCGGTACGTTGGACGATTCAGTGAGCGCGTCAACCACAGGCGTCCCCCCAGGCACGTGAACGCCGTCGTGGGCACGTGAACCTCTCAAGGAGGCACGTGAACCCCTCAAGGCACGTGGATGAGCTCATAGCATCTACAGACGCAGCATTCTTCAGGCACGCTCTGCTGGGCGCTCCCCGCGACGTATGCAAGGCACGTGCTCGTCGTATACGGACGCCGCGTGCCAAGAAGCGAGGCGGCAGCGACGCCATCTAATTCCGTCGTCATTCCCTAGAACAAACAATTAATAAAATATGAGCGAGTGAGGAACGAATAGTAGTTCTAGAGTGAGGAGAGAGGCACCTAGAAGTTCTAGAGTGAGGCGAGAGGCACCTAGAAGTTCTAGAGTGAGGAGAGAAGCACCTAGAAGTTCTAGAGCAGTGGTTCCAAAACTTTTTCAGGATGGCGCCCCCTTTGGCTCCCTAGTGATTTTCTAGCGCCCCCCACAGACATGCGACTTTCTTGAAATTTAGTACGCTGCAATTTTTAAAGACAAAGGTCCAACACAAATGTGTATTTCACAAATAGAACCCCATTTGGTGAACCAATATGTTTTTCAGCTGTTTTAACTGTTTCAGCACTAGAAGCCAAGGACGTCGCGGGCGAATTTACGGCCGGACTCGTGGCCGGTCGCACGACCAATCTCCAAATTCAATTAGCAAGTAATATCTCCCAAACAAATGAACGCAGCTCAATGAAACTTGGAACACGTATTCATCAGAACCTAACGGTGACATTTAGGTCATACTTTTTTTTAAATTTTACCTTCATTAGTGAGTTGCGCGTATATTGCGAAACAGGCCGAAATTCGCATTGATCAAAGAATTTCTTCCAAACTATTGCACAGATTTGAACGAAATTTTGAATATACATTCCTAACTACCAAGCGGTGATTTTTTAGCTTATAAGATTTTTTCCATTTTACCTTCGTTTGCGAGTTTTTTTCATTTCACAGTCATTCTTGATTTCACACTTCCTTATATTCGGCCCGTATCGCCGGGTAATTTGTCGCTTAAATTCGCAGCGATCAAGAAATTTTTTCTAAACTACAGAACAGAATTCAACGAAATTTTGTATATAAACACAAAACCTCTCAACGGTGATGTTTAGCTCGTGACAATTTTTCCATTTTGCTTTCGTTTGCGAGTTATACAGATATAGTAGGAACGACCGGCTTTTCTACCGGTCGATCGATGGCTTCTATAAATCAGAATCAGTATACGTATAGCCGTATAACTCGCTAACGAAGGCAAAAAGAAAAAAAATGTAAACATCACCGTTGCTGAGGTTAGGTATTTAAATACTAAGTTTCGTTCAAATCTGTTCAGTAGTTTGGAAAAAATTTCTTGATTACATCGAATTTAAGCACGAATTGCTGTATAAATCACGAATGAAGGTGAAATAAAAAAAAAATTCACGAACGAAGGCACAATCGAAAAAATTTTCACGAGCTAAACATTACCTTTTGGTAGTTAGGACTGTAAATTCAAAATTTCGTTCTAATCAGTTCAGTAGTTTGGAAGAAATTACTTGATCACTGTGAATTTCGGCCCGTATTGCCATATAACTATGGCAAAAGCAAACGATGGCAAAATTCAAACCATTTTCGCCAGCAAAACATTGCCGTTAGGTCCTAATGAATACGTGTACCAAGTTTCATCGAGTTAAGTTCATTAGTTTGAGAGATATTCCTTGATCATTGAATTTGAAAATTGGCCGTGAAACCGGCCTCGAGTCCGGCCGTTAATTTGCCCGAGACGTAAACCCAGGAGAGGTTGAAAAAAACAGAAAAAACCATCGCTGGGAGTCATGTGCTGCACGTGTTGTGTACAAATCGTCTAACAAACGTTCGACATTGACTTCGGACTACTTCTGACATTGGCTTCGAACTATCGCCCCCCTATCGCCCCCCTACCGCCCTCTTCTTCTTTATCGCCCCCCAAAATCTTTCCATCGCCCCTAGGGGGGCGATATCGCCCACTTTGGGAACCAGTGTTCTAGAGTGAGGAGAGAAGCACCTAGAAGTTCTAGAGTGAGGAGAGAAGCACCTAGAAGTTCTAGAGTGAGGAGAGAAGCAACTAGAAGTTCTAGAG